ATTTGGCCTTTTAACTAAATACGTAAAAAGAAGTCTTTGTTTGGCCCCTCAACAACATATGAAGAAAAAATAAGAAAGTCCTGCCGAGTGGACTCGTTAGCATCCTTCAGGGTCTGGGGACCACAGAGACCCAAATCAGAACCAATAATCACCGAGAAATTTATCTAAAGCCCAAAGACGCAGAAATAGAAATAATATTAAGCATTTGGCTGCTTTTTAACCCTTTAAAGCCTGATCCAAGAATAAAACAAAACAGAAAATTACTTTTAATGAAAATAAGTTCAAATGTAAGTTAATCTTTTTGCCAGATGTCCACTTAGACTTGATTAAAAAAAAAAAGAAAAAACGTGTGTTTTTGGGGAGAATTTAAAAAAAAAAAAAAAAAAAAAAAAAAAAAAAAAAAAAAAATACTTACTTTTTTCTTGTTTTGGCCTTTTAACAAAATATGTAAAAAGAAAAAACAGAAAAACATTTTTAATATCAATAATTTATTACTATGCGATAGGTCAAGATAATTTTTTTGAGTAGTCTTCTGCCCCCTGTTATCAGGTGTATCTGGTTGTGTACAATAGGATTTTGAGTAAATTTTTACCATTAAATTATGCAAAAGGAGTCAGACGCAAAACATTTCAGAAACCGTATGAATCAAATATGATACATTTGGCATTACAGGGTTAAAACCAGCAGGTTAAAAGCAGCCGGTTAAAGAGAAGTAATCTCTTTTCCCTTCTGACCATGAGGCCAAAAAACAAAACAAAAAAACACAACATGTTTAGCTGGTCCCCGTCTGTGGATCCTAGCTAGGATTCATTTACTGACCTGCCACTGTTCAAAGCTCAACTTAAAACGCATTTGTTCAGGGTGGCTTTTTGCTCGTAAAATCTCTGTATACTGGGTTCTGTCACCAATGTGTTTGTCTTTGTATATTTCGATAGTTTGATCTGTTTTTATTACTGTAAAGCACTTTGGTCAGCTCCGGTTGTTGTAAAGTGCTATATAAATAAACATTGATTGATTGATTGATTGATAGAAAGCCCAAAGATACCAGGGGGGGGGATGTAAAGGCTGTGGGTGGGAAGTCTATTTCCCAGAATAAATGGGCCCAACAGGTTGACTCAGAGTTGAGATTTGAAGCTCAGGGTCCAGAGAGAGTTCACCAACGTTCATTCTGCGACTTACAGATGAACTTCAGCAGGTTTAAGCAAGAAAAGGCAAAAAAAAGGAAGAGAGTAGGGCTTTTCCTTATGTGACATAAATGTTAGTCCAATACTGAAGCCATACTAAGTCATTTTCTAAGCTGAAATGTTGAATGACATGAAAAGACGAGACAAGAAAAAATACAATTGTTCTTTCTTTCACATATAATATAATATATATAAATGAGTCTGTTGGTGAATGGACAATAGAAATAGGCTTTTCTTGCCTTTTTGGAAAAGTCTGGGAATGACCTGTTCTCAGCTCAGGAAGTAGGAACCCTATGATCTCTGGTTGTTCAATAGGTTTGCCTGAATCAAAAATTTAGATCTGACTTATCAATATATTCCTGCTAAAAGGTCTGATGTTGCAGGGGAAGGGAATGAAAAGTGCTTGGAACATGACACACACACAACCACACACAGACA